GGCTCCTCCCACTCCTAGTCGTCCTTTTGCAATGGCCTCCCCATTACAACCACGCCCCCGCCCAACGACAGGCGGCATACTTTTGGTCCTACACGTGTTTTCATATGCTGCGTCGCACGCGCAAAACAAAAATAACAATCTAAAAAAAAACAAAAAAAAAAAAATGGGAGGAACAAGGAAAAACTGTTTGTTACAGGAGTAGCAACGAATAGGGAAATGCTCTGGCTTGGAAAATTAATTAAATTTAATATATATTTTATATTTATTGTATAAAAGGAAGTAGAAATTCAAGGACATGTGTTGAAGTTTGCTGAACAGTTTTCATGGTAAATGCTAGAAGTTTTCAAAGATAAAGGATATTAAGAGACAAAAAAAAGTATCATAAAAATCGTATAAAAACTTTTCATATTTATTTTATCTTCTTTTTATCTATTTATCTTCTAATAAATATTATTTTTAACATACATGGTTTGTTTAATTATCATAATTTTAATATCAATTCAAATTTTAAATATATTTCCAACTTTCCCTTGACAATGCATTCCCCAAAAATATCCTTAGATTTGACATACCTCTGCCCAAAGCCTTGTTACCCATTCCGCCCACGTACAAGGTTAGGAAACCGAAAAGAGTTGGGATATATTACATCCAGAGCCAGAGCCAGCAGGCTCTTCTAACATATCTGTGCTGCCACCTCAGCGGTATCCCCAGACTCTTTTTCATACCCACCACTCCCACTCTCCTCCAGCTGGGATACCCACCTGACCAGTTGCGCAGCAAACTAAACACGTGGCAGCACCTGTCCAACCGAGTTTGGTAGCCAGAAAACATCCTCCTACCTCCCTCCCACCCTTGCTGCCTGGATTCCACCACTCCCCCGCTGCTGGTGACCACATTTCATACAGTTTCCAAAAGCTAAACCGCATTTAGCGCGCGTTTAGTGGTCGCCATTCAGTGTTTGCCATCGCTGCGCGTTGTTGCCCAGATTTATGCAATGGAAATATGCCACTGTCTAAAGTTTCAAGTGCCATTCAGGCCGGGTTTATACCTCTCCTGGTCGGTGCCCTCATCCTGCCACCCCACCCACATGACGTTGGGTAAACAGCGGCTGAATGTTTTCTGCCACGGAGAACTTCGCTTGGGTTTTTGGTAATTAAAAAAATTTTTGCTTATATGCAAATCAATTAGTGTGAGCCAGAAGAGGGGTGAGGGGGGAGGAGGGATAACAAGGGGTTTGGGTTACCAGGGAAAGCCCTTAAAAGCAATATATGAGGCTTTGTTGTAGTCCCTCTACTAATTTGCATCTCTGGCAACATTTGGTGGCCCAGGCCACAAAGGCTCGAAATTGAAAGGCATATATGCAATCCTTAGGACGCTGATATGAGCTTCAAGCTCCAGACTGATTTGAGCAACAATTTTGGAATCATCCTCAAACATCGACAGTTGAGGCACTGGAAAAATTAAGTTAAGATTTCTAAAAGAAGAAAAATACGATTTTAAGGGATAAATATCTAAAACCTCTTTAGATTTATTGTTGTATTTAAAGTATTATTTCTGGAAATTGTACACTTACTTAAAATATAATTAAAATATATTAAATATCATTTAATTACAACCTCGATTACATTTCTCTCTCTGTTCCAGGCTACACAGAAAAAGGAATAAGAGCGAGAGTCTCATTTGATTGCCGGGAGCAGCAACAGTTTGCTCTGCACTGCGGCCATGTCCTGTGGCCAAACTGGATGGAAACAAGAGGCGTCGAGGGGGGTAGGATGCTTTGCATATTGTGTACTTAACTTGTTTGACTGCCTGAAGGGGGACCTGAAGGGGCTGAAGCGGGTGCGAGGCAGGATCCTAGCAGAAAACAGCGGCAGCAACAAGCGACGAAGAACGGAAAGTTCTCTCACTTCTTCCTCTTCGCCTATTTTCTCACACGACTCGCAACTCTTTGAAGCCAAAGGGCAGAAACTTGCCATAGCTCCTCAGTTTTCCCTCCTCAGATTTTCCCGGCCATGGATGGAAGGCGGTGCAGCTCGCATTTCAACGGCAAGAAAACAACTAAAAGTCAAATAAACAATTCAACTTTGCGCTGTCAACGGGAGAATGCAGCGGTGGTGAGGTCTCCAAAGGGCCCAGTCGGACTTTTCGGGAGGACGCGAACAGGGGAGGATGAAATTCTTCTGCAAATGGGAGGGCTTTCTTCGAACGAAAATTCCCTTTGGGGATTTTTATTTTTAATGCGAGAGAGAGAGAGAGAGAGAGATAAAGGGATACATATATTTTTGCTCTTTACTTGAAACTGTATGTATTCGCGTTCCCGACATTAGCTTTTGATTTGACTCAGTGGCGCAGTTGGTAAGCGGACGGTCTGTGATTTCTGAGACATGGGTTCAAACCCCGACCGGGATTTAAGAAAAGTAAGTTTATAAGTGGCTTTTAATAAGATTTATACATTCATTTAAGTAATTTAATAACCATTTAAACAAATAATAATTAACAAATAAAATAATAAAAAAGTTTTTTATTTTCTAAATTTTTATACTCTCTGGGGAGGAAAAAATTCTGGAATTTTGCAGAATTTCTTCCTGACCCGAGCAGCGACGGATTCTTCGTAAATCCAATTTTTTATACTCTCTTGGGAGGAAAAAATTCTGGAATTTTGCAGAATTTCTTCCTGACTCGAGCAGCGACGGATTCTTCGTAAATCCAATTTTTTATACTCTCTTGGGAGGGGAAATTCCGTAAAAGATCAGATTTTTATACGCTCTGGGGAGGAAGAAGTTCTTCAAAAGGCCAGAATTTCTTCCTCACCCGAGCAGCGACGAAGGGAGACAAAATACACGAATTACCCCGGCCGCCCATGTATAAAAGCGAATTAGACTTTTACAGAAAAAGGTAGGACTCCCTCCTCCCGTTTCTCGGAGAAAATAGTCCTCCTTTCCTAGGGAAAAGTCCGACTGGGGGGTTGTAGGAAACAGAAGAACGAAGGACGAAGGACGTTGGCGAAGGCGCAGCAACATCATCATCGCTCATAATAATACAAGGAGCCACCGAAGGAGCAACCTTCTACCATAGTTTCTTATTTCGTTGCTTTGCATCTTTTATTTATTGTGCTCGCTCTCGCTCTCTCTTTCTCTGTTTTTCCTCTCGTTCTAGCTTTTTCCCGGATTTTTCCTTGTTCGCTCGTGTCGCCGGCAAAAGGTTACAGCTCTTGACTTTAATTGTTAACAAGTGACTGCTGCTGTGTGGGCTTAAATTATTGAGGCTGTCCCACCCGCACACGGGGACACCTATGAAAAATGATGAGATAATATTTCACATTTTCCGAGACTTTCTCCTCCTGGCCCGGCAAATATTTTCTGCTTACCGGCTGGTCGGGCTCAAGATGATGACAAATGTCTCCGATTCTGATTAGGGAAACATTAAGAGACAGTAGCAGCAGACACGCCTGGGAATGCGACAAACTCGTAACTCATCATCATCAGCTGGCCGCCATGGCGTATGCGTAACAATTATCAACGCTGCATACGTAACAACTGTCAAGGGACAGGACGTGGACAAGGACTTGGTAGTGGACAGTGGGAGTTCACCGAAACCTCAACCAAATCCCCACCCCACCTTCTTCATCCGATGCCGCCAGCAGGTGTTGTCGGAAAACAACGAAAATGGAGCAAAAATAATTAATAGTTCCTGGCAAGGAGCAACCGGCGGTGCAACCTTCTTGGGCGCTCTGCGCGCTCTCTGAATGAATCATGAATGGACGAATGCAAATTGAAGTGGCCAACTTCGGAACTGGCCAATTGAGCTTCTGAAGGGGGGGAAAAAAAAGAAAAAGAACGCCAAGGCAAACAGTCCGCAATCGAACTGAGTTGCATTTGAAATTCAATGAATTTCGTACCCAGGTAAGAGGATGAATGGCCAAAACGATTCGAGGTGAGAGGGGGCAGGTCCTGACAGGAGACACGGTCCTGTCAATTGGACGCCACTTGAAGGATACCCGTAGCGTACCATTCCTGGCAGCTTGGAGGTGCTGCCACGCTTTGCATTATGGATGACCCCGGACGGCAAAAGGCAATCCCCATCCGGATTCAATTTGTGACAAGTCGCCTGAGCAATGTCCCCGGCAAGTGCCATAAATTGTGCACGGATCGCAGTCAGAGAAAAGCCGAGAGCTGGAAGCCCGGAGCCCGGAGAGCTGAAGAGCTGGATGGCTCTGCTCGCTAATTATCAAGAGTGCCCGACGAAACGAAACGCATTAAAAATGTGCAACTTGCACTCGTAACTCATGTGGCTGCCCTTTATTTATGGTCATTATTAAGGCCAATTAAAAGAACAGCAAAATCAGATGGCCGAATGCTGCTTACAAATGCAAATCCGCTTTAAATTTTAACACCAATTCTCCGAGCTAGGCACTCGCAAAGCCAATAAACAAATTGGCCTCCGGGAATTGGCAGCTCAACAAGGCAGGAAGTCACTGACACCGAGACCGAGTCTACCGACCAAGACTCTACGCAATAACAATTAGGAAAAGCTTTGTGCAGGCCGGCCGGCAGTCCGTCTGGGAAAATTCCACAGGGATCAACTTGCAACAAGCTGCAACAAATCGAAATTAATTTGAGTCTCCGGCAAAGATTCCGTTTTGCAGCATCTTGAGCCAGACATCGGTCCCCAAAGACCCGAAATTTCAAGGAGGCCAAGAAAACGAAGTGCATTGGACAGGACAAGTTGTCAAGTTGGCCAATTAATAAATCAATTTGTTTGTCGTATTTAATTTTACATTTATTGACCGTCACTTATCGGCAGCAGGCGAACCCTTGCGGTTGTCACAGCAAAAGTCAACATTTATTGAAAGTCTTGTATGTTTTTTATTATTTAACTGGGTCTTGAATCAATGGAAATTAAGTTAAATAAATCAAATTTAAATAAATGTCTTTTAAGACTTATTTTATCGATAAGATAAGCCGTATTTCTTTAGGGTAGGAAATATCGAATAAAAATCTTTACAAAGTATAAACAAACGTAGGCATTTTCCCTCTCCCCGGTCTCATAGTTCGCAGCTGCACAGGATTATGGTAGTCCAAAACTTTTTGGATAAACTCATGATGGCTTACAACGTCCGTTAAGACGCTGAGATGCTTGCACTGCCTGTTCGCGTAGCTGTTAATGCCCAGCTGAAAGAATCGACGCCGGCCCTCATAGAGCATCATTCTGCCCACGGGTCCGCCCGAGTCGCCATTGCAGACATTACTGTATTCATTGCCAATACAGATCTGGTTGGGGCCCACTGCCCGGCCGAACATATTGATGCACTCTTGGGGATTCTGTCGTTTAATAGCCAAGGTCTGAAGGATTTGGGTCGTCTGGCCAGACGCACTGTCCTTGCCCCAACCGGTGGCAGTGAACCAGGTGACCCTATCAATCTTTTCCTTCATCCGCGGGTCCATGAAAATGCAAATGGGTCGAATGTGAGCTGTAGAAAGGGTATTATTTGAAAGAAATTCAAGAGATGGGGAAAATCTTAACACTCACGTTTGTACTCCACCCTCCTGGCCAGCTTGAACATGGCTATGTCATTGGACTGATCATCTGTATTGTATAGGCGACTCCGGAATCCCCTTTCTATCTCGTACTCCTCGGCAGGACCCTGACAGCGCTCACCCTGACAGTCGTCCCCATGGGTCTTTCGGTCGTATTCGCCCAGGCGAACAGTTCTGAAAAGGAACATCATAGCCTTTAGCCATGACGTTAATAAAAAAAAGCCCTGTTATATACTCACAACACTTGGCCCTGTTTAAGGCAATGCGCCGCTGTCAAGACAAGCCCTGAAAATAAATAAGACTCTCAATAATTCCGTTATATAAAAAAATATATATATAAAACAATAAAAATACAAACAGTGATTAACCAAAGATCCGGCACAGTGGAAATGTGTGGGCGTGTGCAGGTAGGCCATCCAAGGACTAGATCCTATCTCCGCAACCGAGCCATTGACAATCCTCGGCGCCAATAAGGTAGTTGTAGGGATTCCACAATTTGGTTCCAGCAGCTGAGCCCCGATTTGGTCGGCTATCAAGACGATTCCAACGATGAACAGTAAGCTTTTCATTTCGCTTCGAACTGTGAGCACTTTCTGATTCAGAATTAATTTTAGACCTCGACTATATAGTCGCCCCAGGCTTATCAGTGTTTAAGAAAATAAATTATTCTTGGAATTAATATTCTTTTCATGGAATCATAAACATTAAGTATATACAACCATATTAAAATAGCTTTAATAAGAATATTGCAGCATAATATCACATACTTATGGTTTTACTAAAAATTATCGTATTGCTTTTTTTATAGGTTTCCCTAAATATATAGGCAAACATTTGATTTAATTTTTTTAAAGCGAATTTAAAACATTTTAATGAACCTTTTTTTAGTTTTATATATTTTTTTTTTGTATTTTATTTAATCTAGAATTTTTTTGGCTTGGATTTCACTACATTTCATTATTTTGTCTATTTATAATATAGTAATACAATTGAACTATTTATATTAAATAAAATACAACAATAATTTAACAACAGAAAATAAATATTAAACTACAATATACAAATTACCTAAATAACCCTATGAATCGTTGGGTGTATGCCTTCCCACAAGAAACTGTATCCACATGCTGTGACTCAGGATATCTGTGAAAACACCATGTTTACTGCAATGATCCGTGACATAGCTGCTGACACCGAGCTGGACGTAGCGACTCTTTTGTTTGATCTTAAGCTCCAAGACCACGGGTCCACCGGAGTCTCCATAACAAATGGTTCCGCTTTCGGCCACCGTGCATATCTGCGAATCGAGGCAGTCGCACTCGCTCTTGTCTCTCCTCTCAATGATTTTGGTTTGGAGGATATTACTCGTATCGCCATCTGGTTCGGTTTTGCCCCAGCCAATTGCCAAAAACCAAGAAACTCGGTCCACCTTTATTTTTGAGTCTGTTAAAATGCAGATGGGTCTGATGTTAGCTGTAAAGAAGAGAGTTAATTCAGTAAGGAGTTTTCTCTGGTAATGGCTAAGGACCTACCTGTGAACTCCACCTTTCTTGCCAGCTTCAACAAGCCTATGTCGCTGCCTTCCGAAGACCTAACATAACTCCAGTGCTTCAAGAACCTGTCTACCTTGTAAATCCTGGAGGAATGTAGATCATTGCTGTTGTGCACACCCAAGCTGACTTTACTGCAAGGTGATTATAGTATTTAAAGTATTACCTTAACCAAGTTTTTTGTGCCCTACTTACAGTCCCTTTGTTTTAGCAATGCAATGTGCCGCTGTCAGGACAAACCCTGAAAAATTACATTTAATTTAATATTTCTTTAAGAAATTATTTAAAGTTAACCAACACTCACAGTGAGTAATGAGAGTCCCGCCACAGACTAAGTGTTTTCCCCTGTGTATGAATGCCATCCAGGGATATAGTCCTTTCTCCGCATCTGTCCCATTTACCAGTCTCTTTGAAATTCTTAGAGCCCCGCATTCCGGCTCGAGGAACTGAGCGGTAACTTGTTGTCCCAGGAAGATCACCAAACTGGCAATGAATATAATTTTTATAATTTCACACTTCATTTCAAGGCGATGGCAGCTCACTGTCTGTTTCTTCTTTCGATTGTAATCCGGACTTATATATGATCGGGAAGTGCCTTATCATCTTAACAATAGATTTGTTCTAGGTATTTTACTTCCGCGAAATTCCCCTTTTGAGCGGAACTGGGAATATCATCATTTGTTTATGTTTGAAAATGTTTTGGAAACTGATAACGATGCTATTTGAATACAAGCTCAGCTTGTATGTATTTTATTATTTATTTTAAACACTAATAAATTGTTTCAAATTCCAGAAGTTCTTATCGCCTGCCAGTTTTAGTTCCGAATTGACAATAAAAAATTCGGGGAAATTATAAACAAATATTCTGTGGAAATTCTGTTAATTTTAAATTAAAAATGATAAAAAAAATGCCCTCAAAATATTATTAAACTTATGTTTTGTGACGTTAAGGCTGGATTCAATCGATGTGACTAAGAACATTCAGCATTTTGAATGTTAATGTCAATTATCATACGGCTATTTAATTACTTGTAGACTACAAGTTGTAGTGTTTTTAAAGGGGTTTACAACATTAACTGAAAATTAAATTAACCTTATAAGAAATAGCATAGCTTATTATAATTAGGTTTTGGATGCTATAAGCATTTTCATTATTTAAAAATGTAAGATGCACCTCAAAATATTATTCCTAAAATATTATTTGTTACATGTTATTCTTATTACAGCCAAATCTAGCTGTGGTCTCCTCCAACACTCAAGAAGTTTGGTTTAATTTCAATTCTTAAATTTTAAGAAAGACAACAACTAAGTCGGGTTTGTTGTTGTTGCGGTTGCTGTTGCGGTAATCATGCAAGACACGCTCGTGGAGACTCGTGGAGCAACCGCAAATACATAAATCATGCGGCTATTTTAAGACCCCAAAAAAAGCTACACACAAAAAAAGGCGAAATAAAAAAAAGACAAAGAAATGGAGAAAAAGATCTAGAAATCTATGGACTCAGGGGAGGTGTGGGGGGATGAACAGTTAGGCTAGTCCAGGTAAATGAACTAAAAGTGCGAAGCGGCGCGTGCAGAGCGACAACAGCGGAAAGCGATCGCCGAGCGAAATGAGATTGCCACACTTTCGGTTCGAGGGAAAGAGAGCGGGTAATCACCACATTTGAATGAACAACACTCACACTCACTTCATTCATTCATTCAAACGAGCGCAAATACACAAACAAACATACAAAATAAATAAATGAAATAAAACCCAAACGAAAAAACGCGTTAAACAGCTGACGAAGCCGGCGTTGACGCCGACGACGCGACGGCGACAGAGATTATGCAATCGCCTAAACTGTGAACGGTAAAAGCGCTCTGCCCAATGGTCAGCAGAGACAGAGGTAGTGGCAGCGGCAGAGCCAGTGGCAGCGACGCTACATGGAGCGTGTCCAGAAGTCTGGAGCCCACTAAGCCCCCAACTCAACGGTCAACAGAACAATCTTAAGTGACAGGCTCCAGGGAGCTCCTTAACATCCGGGTTTTTTTTAAGGATTTTTCTATAATTCCCAACTGGTTTTGGAACAGAATTAAGGCAGTATCTAAAGTTTATTATCACAGAAATTTATGTAAATAATATTATTAATATTAATACTATAAAAATATTGAATATTTAAGTTAAGTCCTCACTACAAAGCCACAGATTCGGAATTGAAAGCAAGGAAATTCACAACATGAGGACATTATCTTTATGAATATACCTATAAGTCCCCCCTGGTACAGAATTAAAGGGTTACCTATGCTTCTTTATAATGATCACTGTTATGTACTAGTATGCAAGAATAAAATAAAAATATTTATTTCAAGCCTTATATGATTTCCTGTACTCTCTACTGTATTTTTTCTTTTAATTAATCGAAACTTAAGTTAACAGCTGATTTTATAATTTTTCTTCTTTATAATTACTGGCCCTTCTTTTGCTTACTGCAATCACTACAAAGAAAACATTGTAGGGCTGCCTGATCTTGGCTTTGGCTTTTGTGGTTTATCTAGTTTTGCCGGCTAGCAATTCTGCTTCTAGCTAGCTGCTGCTTCTGCTGCCGCGCTGGCTGCACAAGTTGGCCAACAAAGTCGCCGTCGTCGTCGTTGCCGGTGGAATGTGGAGAAAGTAGGCCGCGATCGTCTAGGCGCTGGCAGAGATCGCTGACTCTGGCTCTTGGCGTGGCTGAAGCCCCAGCTTGGGACTGTAACTGGGACTGGGACTGGGACTCCGTCTGAGACGGAGACGGTGACCGAGACTGCGAGAGCCAAGCTGCGCCGAGAGCGTCGCGTGCATGCAACATTCCATGGCGGAGCGACTGAATCCGCTGTTGCAGCGGCGGGACTAACAGTTAGCCGCCCGTTGCAGTTCCGTTTGCAGCAAGCGGATTTCTGAGCCACACTAATTGGTCTCAATCTGTCTGGGAGAAGTGGCGACGGACTGGCAGTAAAATCGACGGGGCAGGGAACTCAGGGAGACGGGTGCTGTGGCAAGGTTGTTGCACGTTTGAGTTATTAGCGCAACATTGTTGCAACAACCAGTCGGCCATGGAGCTAATGCGGCGGCCATTAGCCAGCCGACAGACGATGTGGGGAAAGGGAGTCAATTAACACTCTAGGGAGTATATGCACATTTTATTTGTAACCATAAAAGTTCAAGAATATTTTGCATAATGTTTGGAATAATAAAAAAATAATAAGCATTAGAGTTGAGAGACAATTATAAGGGTTATAAAGAGGCGCCGATGGTAGTAGACTATTAAAAAATAATATTAGAATATGAATATCATTAATTATAATTATTTTGGATCCAAGAAGAGCATTTTCAGATTTTTGTTTAACGAATTGAGCATTTTCCAAGTTGATTAAGGTTAATAACAATCATTGTTTTAAAAAATTAAAATTTATTTTATCTTTCTTTTTTGATTTCATTTTTGTAAATAAAATGTATTATAATTTAACTTTACTCATTTTATTCCTTTTCTATAAAAGTATCTATAATTTCATTATAAAGTTCCCTTCTTCCAATTCTCCAGCTTATCCGCCCCGTGTTATCCACGCAGATTATGCAAATAGTTATCAACTCTGAGCAAAGTCTTTATCCGCCGCTCGAGAATTCGATTTGCGCAGCAGTTTGCTTCAAAGATACAGATACAAAAGCTTGGAACGAGCAAGAATTGCGAATACTCTCCCGCTGATTCCTGACCTATTCCCAGGCCAAGATTCTGAATGAGAAGCTATAGGCTATAGTTTGATGGGTTCCCCAGCGAATACACTGCTAAGCAAGCCGCCAGCTGCTGTTTGTGCTGCGTAGTATCTGGAATGCCGCAGCTTTCCCCCGCTACCCCCCAAGATTCGGATAGAAAGACAGACAAAAGTACTTAAAGTTCACGTGTTTGTGTGAGTGTAGGTAAACCAATTGCGCAAATACAGAGATTTGCAAAAGAGAGCCAGTCAGAGAGAAAAGCTGAAAGGGGGAGCTAAAGAGTTGGGGGGGGGTCAAATCGAGTATCGGTGGCAATTTAACCAAAAGTTTTCTTTATCGCATTTATGGAATTTCCAGCTAACCGGAAGTTCATTTACCTTTCGAAAGTTGCCTCACACAGCTGCTGCTCCCCAGCTGAGTGAAAGAGAAAGAGGCAGATCGTTAAGAGATCGTAGTTAGCCATAAAAAGTTAATGAACCGATCTCAGTTGCTCTCTTTACAGCTTTAGCCTACCCTGCTCTTCCTAGTGGCTGCCACGCTCTTAAGAGTGCCGCAAACGAACTTGACACACTGACGCAGTTTTTTGCTTTTATTGTCGGATGCAGGGGGAGGGAGCGGCTTGAAGGGGGGCTCTTGAGATCTTCGCATTAACTGTTAAGCGAGATGCCTGTGCTGCAGTCACGGCGACGCCGGCTGCTACGTTGACAGAGGCAGCAGCAGCGACAGTGGAGCTTTCTGTTTGCCGTTTGATTTATTTGCCGTTTGCACTTGAATTTCTGTTCTCATCAGCTCTCTTTGCTTAGCCCCACCTCCCTGTCTCTCTCTCTCTCTTTTAGTCGCTGTCTGCAACTTGTTTAACTGCACTTGTCTGCTGCCGGGAATTACAGTTAAGCGCGGCCGTTAAGCGTCTGATCCGACACTGGAAACAAAAATGTATGAAAACAAATCAAAACAAACAAAAAGAAAATAATTATAGAAATTTTATATTAAATTGAACTTTTAGGCAAATGCTTAACTAATTAGAATATATTATTTAAAAAAATAAAAACCTATAATTTGCTTATATTTTCCTTTAACTTTGTTTAATATTATTGCATCTTTTCCGGTTTCTCAGTGTCCCTGCCTACTTCGCAGTCTAGAAGCTGTTAAGATCTAGTTTAAGTGACAGGTCTAAAATTAACGCCTGACCATACTTGGTATGCGCTACCAGTGCCCGTGACGTCACTGGCGGCCACTGGCGATTATATGTGTAGATTGGCGATATCCCTCTTAAGCCTCGCGCTCAATCCTCTCGATATCCAGTCTCCGTGGAGAGAATAAAAGAGGCGAGGCAATTTTCCACATGGCACAATAACTGGCCGCCGTAATTTACAGTTTTTAATGACAACATTTACCGCAGCATACTTCACGGCGCCCCCACACAAGCATGTGCGTAGCGGAATCCTTTTTGGCTCCCCCTTTTTTATACGCCACCCTTTTGTATACCCCTGTTTACTCGCCACCCTTCACTCGCAGACCCTTTACTCGCCACCCTTTACTCGCACCCGTATGACGCGCCGCCACCTTACTCGCTGGGACACATTGTTGTGTTAATTAAATGTCATACGTGAGAAAATTGGCGCCATATTGGATTTTATCTGTGGCGAGGCAGGGACAGTGCCTGCCGAGTGCTGAGAGGGGGGCTGGACTGGGTGGCCTGTGTGCTGCTGCAGCTACTTTTGCATGCGGCGGCCAACTGCAAGTGGGAGCTGTGCGCTTATCTGGCTTTGGCTTTTGGCAAATTAATGAGCCACC